ATTTTGGGACATGAGTTTTAACTGGTTTACCTATTATGCGAATCTCTGTTTTCATATGTTAGATTTGTTTAAGATGAGGTGCACATTTTAATTAATGCAGATTCTTGTTTTCTTTTCCTTTTTTGTGTGCAGGGAGGACAGAGTTTCACTTTTGTCGTCTAGGCTGGAGTGCAATGGCGCATATGACTTCTTTGGTGTTTGTGCTTTCAGTTTGCTGTGGCACTCTTTTTCTCAGATTTACACATACTGTTCTCTTTTTGTTAGTGTGGAATTAGTCACAAAGAGGTGCTTGTCTCTCTAGATCTGGAATATAATTAAATGTAAATTAGTGAAGTAACATACAACTTTAGGGCTAAGTCTACAGATTCCTTTTCAGAAAAACAAATGCAATGCCTTAGATTTTTATTTTAACTCTTTTTCTCTAAGAATGTCAACATATTGTATACTCTGTCCAATTTTCTTCACCTCTCTGGGGAGTGTGTTCTGGTTTATCTTTTGGTGGTAAGAGGTAGTTGATACAGTATATATTTTGGTGTCAGATAGACCTGCATTCAAATCCCAGATCCTTCTCTTCCTGGATATGACTTTGGACAGAGTCATCTTTCAAGCCTCAATTTAATCATCTTAACCCTATGAATTAAGTATTAAAAAGGAGGTAATACTTAATTCATAGGGTTATTTGAGAGTTTTAAAGGGATTGTGAGTGTGAAACAGTTTATACTGAATACACCTGTTCATTAGCTCAATAATCTAAGGATACTACTGACTATAAGATCACCTTCACACACAGACATAGCTGAAGACCAAAGTATAAAACACTTCCCAGGGCCAGGCGTGGTGGCTCATGCCTGTAATCCTAGCACTTTGGGAGGCCAAGGCAGGAGGATTGTTTGAACCCAGGAGTCCAAGACCAGCCTGGGCAATGTGAGACCCTTGTCTCTACTAGAAAAAAAAAAAAAAGAAAGAAAGAAAGAAAAGAAAACACTGTTCAGGACATGAATTTTTTTTTTTTTTTTTTTTTTTTTTTTTTT